GCTGGTAGTTTCGAACCGCTGACCTTAAGGTTCGCAGCCCGATTCGTAACCACTACGCTACCAGAGCTATATAATATATATAGCTTCCTGTGACATGGGGCTGCACCGACTCCATATAATAAGGACTGGACTGTAGACCACATGGTTTGTTGTTCAAGCTGGCCTGACAGTCCATGGCGGAAAGATGAAGCTTTTTGCTCCCACAAAGACTTGCCACCTCAGAAACTCTATACATGGTTGCTATGAGTCAGAACCAACTTGATGGCACTTAATAACAACAAGTGTTTCCTTTGGAGCCATGAATGTCTGAAGAAAGAAGAAATCAAATATTTACTTTTATAAAAGTTGGTTTCTGGTTTTGTTGGTGGAATGGTTGCCAGATTTTATGCTACTTTTTGCAGTGGTGGTTTGAAACATATTTTTCCTTATTTTTCAAATTTTGTTGACTTTAAAAGTAAGCATTGGTGGTAGTTGTGTGCCACCGAGTCTGTTTCCACTCATCGTGGTGACCCTGTAAAGGGTTTCTGAGGCTGTAAATCTTCATGAGAGCACAAAGTCTCATCTTTTCCCCACAAATCGACTTGTTGATTCAAACCACTAACCTTGCAGTTACCAGCCCAGCTGATAATCCACTATGCTATCAGGATTCCTTAAAAGTAAGCATTAGCTTGCTTAATATAGCACAGGCAGCCTCCTGTTTATGAAAGAGATCTGTTCCAAAGTGTGTCATTAAGTTGAATGTGTTGGTAACTCAGAACAGGTGCATCTGTTTCTTATTTAGCTTTACTTTAGTGCAAGAAAAGACTGGAAGCCCTTTTAATTATTTGAAAACTGCAGATGTAGCAAGTGAAGGTGTTGGGATGAAGAATTTGTTGCAAATAGGGGTTGTTTCAATAGATTTAAAGTACGAACAACTTTATATAATATTAAAGGGTAGTATGATTTGTTCATAAACTGGTTGCTTATGACCCAGGAACTTATTTATCATAGTCTAAGATTAGGCCAATCAACTATCATAAGCATTGGCTCCTTCAAATAATTCTATTAAAATATAAGTCTAACGTGACTGAAAAAAGTAAGAAATTAACATAAAATATTGGCCAATCCAAAGTGATATTATGAAAACATAAGACCAAACAGATAAAACAAGTTGGATTGAGTTTCTTGAAAGATTAAAAATAAATTATGAGGTAAATAAATTGCTAGGTGTACTCTTCACTTCTGAAGACACCTTGCCTTGACCTTAGTATATATGTTCTGTCTCTGCAAATGTCAACATGAGAAATACACATTACCTCATTTGAATCAATTCCATTGTTGACTGACCAGGTGGTTTGGAAATATTCCAGCATCCTCTGCTTGAGCTGCTGGGGCAGGTGATGAACACGGATGAAGTCCTTCAGTTCTGTGGTTCTTGTGTGATAGAGGGACCATCTAGAGTACATCCTCTGTATGATTGCTGTCACATTTCCAAACACCAAGGCATGCATCAAGGCTACAGAGAAGAACATAAGAAGGGAGAGGAAAAGATAAGGAAGCCAACCCTTATTCTGATTTTACAGTATGTACATTTGAGATCAGAGTGCTGCTGGTGGTGGTGGTGGTGTGCCGTGGAGTCAGTTCCGACTCATAGCGACCCTGTACAGGGTTTCCGAGGTTGTAAATCTTTACGGGAGCAGAAAGCCTCATCTTTCTCCTATGGGGCAGCTGGTAGAGCCTGCTTATTTGACCAGGTTGATAGAGTAATTTTGATGTGGACATTTTAGTGCAGTCACTTTGTCAACAGAATGAATCCTGATGTAGTCATTTTCAATCCACATGGCCTGATCAGAATAAAAATATCTTTGCTACTCAAGACATTATGCTGAGTGAAATAAGTCAATCACAAAAGAACAAATATTATATGAGACTACTATTATAAAACATCAAGAAAGGGTTTACACACAAAAAGAAACACTCTTTGAAAGCTACCAGGGATGGGAAGAAAGGGAAGGGGAAAATCATTAATTAACTAGAGGGGAAAAACATTAAATTAAATGAAGGAAAGTGCAGTAAGGGGGAGGTCAGGAATGCACTGCTCAATACAATTAACCGTATAGAACTAAAATAGTAACATTTGCTCCCAAACAAAGCATAGAAGGCAGGAAAGATTAGGAATCAAGGATGAATGGCAAGGGGAAATCCAAGGAGGAAGTGGGAAGAATGTGGGAATTATAATTAACGTTACAAAACAAAATGTGTATAAATTGTTGAATGGAAAACGAATTTTCTATGTAAACTTTTACCCAAACCACAGTACATATATTTTATATGTAGTTGTTAAGTGTCGATAAGTGCTTTTGAGTTGGTTCTGTTTCACAGCGACCCTGTTTAGGGTTTCCAAGGAGCAGCAGTTGGCTTTGAACTGCCAACCTTGTGGTTCAAACCAATGTTTTGGTCCACTGCTTACCCTACAGAAATACACCGGGACTATATATCACTGGACTGTGAATCACAAGGTTGGCAGTTCAAGCCCACCAGCTACTCCTTGGAAACCCTATACAGGCTCATTATGAGTTGGTACCAATTCCACAATACATAAAAAAAAACAAAACAAGAAAAACAACACTCAGTGTTGAAGATCACCAGGTACTCCTCAGAAACCTTAAACAGGGTCACTAGGACATCAAAACTGACTGAACAGCAGTTAACAAAAACATATATGTAAGTATACACACACACACACACATACACATATGGTGGTGGTTATGTGCCATGGAGTTGGTTCCAACTCACAGCAACCAAAGCTATAAATCTTTACAGGAGCAGAAAGTCTCAACTTTCTCCCATGAAACAGCTGGTATTTTCAACTGCTGACCTTACTGTCGGCAGCCCAATTCGTAACCACTACGCCATCTATCTATCTATCTATCTATCTATCTATCTATCTATCTATCTATCTATCTATAATATGCAATGGTATACAAGATAAAACTATTTGAGCAACACTTGATATCTTAGCTGTCATTCTGGTTTTGACAAACTTTTGTTTTCTACTCTGTTCATATCTGTATCACTTTAAGAGTTTTGTGTGCTCTTTTTATCATCATAATAAATACATTTACTTAAAAAAATCTACCCATAGCCACAGAGGGCTAGAGCTGAGAGTGAAGCATCCAGCTGATACGAAGTGAGGGGAACTGCACAAGAACATTCAGATTTTCAGATAATACCCGTTTGAACCAGCTTCCATGGCTTGATGATCAGAACTCAACTAGAGGAAGATAAAAAATTCTGATAAAGGAACGAAGTGTAACATGCTACAATTTGATGAACTTGACCTATACTTATGGATGTAGTGCCTCAAAATACTGACTGAGAGGGAAGGAGTCTTCAAATCAAGGAGCATGACTATCCTCTCTGTACACAGGGTTGATAGGGATGGGCAATTTAGACATTGGCTACTTGGTACTAGGAGGTGTGATGGAGGGCAATAAAAGCACAATGTGACTGGCTTACAAGTTTTAAAGAGAGTTTAGTTTCAGAGTGTACAGGGGAATGGAGAATCCCCAGCTAATAGTTTTCATCTTGTCCAGAAGAGTCTGGTGAAAGGAGATGGGGATAAGATTCCTTATGATTCAATAATAATTGTTATCATGACTAATTACAACTGTCACATCTGTAAAGGCAGAAGTTTTGTTACAAAAAGGAGAAGTAGTTAATCTTATAGTCCAGGAACAGAGGACCCTAGGATCATCAAGGGAGAAGAGAGGAATGTATGATCCTATCTAGAGAAGGAGTGCACCAGAGATGGAGGCAGAGATGATGACATGGAGAGATAGAGTAGCTGAGGACTCTAGACTGTGTGTTGGTGGCCAGGAGGCAGTCTTGCAGAATGTGCTCTTTGGCTGTTTAAATGGTTATATATTCCTGAGTATTTATGTGTACATCAAAACAAAAACACAAAAAACAGGGAATAGAAGCAAATACTGTTGAATGATGATGCAAGGAAGGAATTGTAATCATTGCAATGACATGAAATACAACAGGATGAGTCTGAAACCAATGTTCTCTCATGTAAACTCTTAATCAATTCACAATATAAACTTTAAAAAGTCTACCATAATTGGTTAGCTTTATGAGAATATTAGTCTGACCGCTCTACCCCAAAACATCACTTTAATTTAGTTTTAGGATAAAATAAATTTATATTCTTAATTTTAAGATATACGAATGTCCATTAATAAAATTTGTTGTTGTCAAGGACTTCATTTTGTTTGGATCTACTATCAACACTAATGGAAACAGCAGTCAGGAAACCAAATGACGTATTGCATTGTTAAATCTGCTGCCAAGACCTCTTTAAAGTGTTCAAGAGCAAAAATATCTCTTTTTTTTGAGGAATGAGGTCCACCTGATTCAAGCCATGGCATTTTAAATAGCCTCATATGCATGTAAAAGTTGGACAGTGAATACAGAAGAACATTTGATACATTTGAGTTATGGTGTTGAAGAATATTAAAAGTACCATGGACTGCCAGAAAAACAAGCAAATCTGTGTTGGAAGAAATGCAACCAGATGCTCCTTAGATGTCAGGAGGGAAAGACTTCATCTTTCATACTTCATACATATTATCAGGAGGGACCAGTCCCTGGAGAAGGACATCATGCTTGGTAAAGTGGAGGGTCAGTGAAAAAAAGGGGTATCCCCAACAAAATGGGTAGGCACAGTGGCAGTAGCAATGGACTCAAACATATCAAGGACTGTGAGGATGGCGCAGAACTGGGCAATGTTTGGTTCTGTTGTATTTCACATTGTTATGAGTCAGAACAGACTTGACAGCACCTAACAACAGAAATAACATTAATAAAAATGGTGTGGAACAAGATTAGTTGTTCAGACCCACCAGACACTCCTTGGAAGCCCTACACAGTGTTGCTAAGAGAAGCAACTCGACAGCACACAACTACAATAATAATATTAATAAAAATATTGAGAAAGCTGTAAAACATATGATTTAGGATTTTCTAAGTAGTCTGAGCTGAAATTAATACAAACCAGATATATTCTCTCTCCAACTCAGATTTCCAAATCACTTTAAAGAAAACTTGAGATGCTGACTGCTGAAGATATAAATGAATTTACAAGTGAAAATAGCTATTCTATTGAGAGTCATTGTTTTCATCCTGAGAGCCAGCATGGTACATATATGACTCCTGTCTTGATTAAGTTTGTCAGTTAAGCAGTTTTTAGTTTCTCCCTACCTGTAACCACCACCACAGTGTAACAAGATAAACTTTGTCCAAAAGAATGCGAGGATCCTAGGCAGTTTAGGAGATAGCTCAATTTCTTCCAGAGGAAAGTAGAATAAGAGCCTCATTTCTGAAGAGTTGTCCATCATGGGGTTAGGTCTTTTGAATTTAGAGAGGCACATGATAGGATTTTACACTAAAAAGCCAATAGTAGAACTTAATGGCCTATGCAGACATCAGTGGTGGTGGTTATGTGCCGTGGAGTCGGTTTCGACTCATAGAGACCCTGTACAGGGTTTCCGAAGCTGTAAATCTTTACGGGAAAAGAAAGCCCCATCTTTCTCCCGAGGAAGAAGACATTTGAATTACCTGGTGCTGTGAAATTGAGAGATGGGTGAGAACCAGATGCATCTACAGTTGTTATTGCTGTTAAGTGCTGTCAAGTTGGTTCTGACTCTTAACAACCCTGTATAGGGTTTACAAGGAGAGGCTGCTGAGTTTGAACCACCGATCTTGTGGTTCAAACTGACCTTGTGGTCTAGTGCTTTATCCCACAGTGCCATAAGCAGTTAAAGTTTAAGTGATACTAAGATTTCATCCCTGATCCCCATCCTGGGAAAAGGTTCTGTGATGATGTAAGAAACTTAGGGATTAGGCTAAGTTATCTGTTCAGGTAATTTTGGTTAAAACAAAAGAAAACAAAACTAAACATTATTAGTTTATCAAAATGTCCTTCCTTAAAAATTTTAATGTCCCCGGATCTTTGTTAAAAATAATTTTAGCATTAAAATGGATTAATATGAAAGTGTCAATATGCTACTTTAGACCTTTCTATTTTAGGACAGTCCTTCTTCAAACTCTCTTTTGAAAAATGTCTACATTTACCAGAATTTACCAAATACTAGTGTACACATGTCTATCTAATCAGGAACATGGATAAAAATGTATCTATTTATATGAGGGGTCTTGAAAAAGTTTATGAAAAAGTTACATTACCTTTTCATTCCATTTTCCACAAACTTTTTGAAGACCCCAAATATATATATTTTCTATGGAAAAATAAGGTGACAATGACCACAAAACCCATCACTTTCATAATAAGATCTTTAGTAATTTGTTAAAGTCACCAGAATAGAATGTAAAATAGTGTCTACGTTTATAGAAAGAAACAAAAAATTAGAGAGAGAATATGAACTTCAGAATCAGACAGGTCTGAGTCTGAATCCAGGCTTTGCTGCTTCATAATTATGTAAACCTTGGCA